TATATATATATATATATATATATATATATATATATATATATATATAACACACATATATTTAATTTGAAATACATATGTATCCTATATAATATATATTCTATATAAAACCAATAATAGATGCGACAAGTTTAAAGAATTACCTGAACTTGTAAATTCTTCAACTTCAGGTAATGTAACTACTATTTTTTTATCAGACTCTTGCTGTTTCTCTTCAATTTCCTCCTTAACTGGTGATTGCGATGGCAACACGGATGCCCGTTTGCGTATCTTCGTTGATACATTTGGTGTACATTTGTTTTGATCAGACATGGTTTCTGGATCAACGGAACTAGCTCTTGTTCTACGTGTAGTTCTAAGTGATGGTGGTGGTGACTTTGTCTCAGATCCAGCACGCACAAAATGTTTACTGTCAATTATGTTAAATCGCAAATTAATCACAAATGGTAGTAAATATATTAGTTGCTGTTATATTTTCAATAAATAATTTGGCACATGGAATTTCTGATATGTCTTTAATATATTTCTATATATAGAATATGAAAATGAACTTAAACTTTCTCCATCACACAAAATTTTTATTTTTTATGATAGTTATTTGAGATTTAATATATTGCATATAAGACATTTCACACAATTTGCTATTTGATTTAAAATTTAACTTTTTATACTAAATTATTTAACTTTTTATACTAAAATACTATCAATATTAAGTATCTTCCATAAAAAGCTCAAAAATGTAAGTAACATATTTGTCTATAAAAACTTATTAAGATACGATTTATCTTCAATTAGGCATAAAGCACATGACAAAAAAAATATATATATATGACAATTTTATTTTTAAAACAAACATATAACACAAGCTAAATACAATAGAAAATCACTAGCTTCTAGTTTTAAATTCAATAAGCCATGCCTTTATATAATAAAGAAAATCAACTTTCTTGAAACTCAAGAATTATGTTACTGGAAAATCCTGAGTGATACAACAAGAGTGATAGAAATCTGTTGGTACTTTTTAATTCAGTAATTCAACAAATGAATTAAAATATACTGCTGGATCACATTATTTAATCCATGATAAAAAAAGTTTGTTTTTCGTTCCTGCATTGTTGAACTAGTGCAATAAGTTAGAGCGAAAAAAAATACTTGTCTCACTCTAACTTATTGCACCAGTCCAGCAGTGCAAGAACAGAAAACAAATCCAAAGTTTCTTTATTTTAGACCAGTGTTATTTACTCAGTAAAATAAAAATAAGTACTGAACAACAATCATACCTAGTTGCTCGAGTACTGGCTCTGGTAGGTGTGCCAAGTGTTGCAGTAATAAAGCTTCTCCTTGTAATTCTTTTCGATGGAGTTCCTATATCGGTATCTAATATTTCACTAGCTTCTGAAGAAATGGAAGACTTTCTGACACGACGTCCTTTCAATGTCTCTGTAGTGATAGAATCCATAGTGGCTGTCCGTTGCCTAGTAGTCCTAACTGGTTGACTATTAGTACTGGTGTCACTTTCAGAATCTGGTGAGAGTTTCTTGATAGATTGCTTTATTCTGCTGCTACGACGTATTGGAGAATCTACCACTGACTGTGTGGTCAATGTTCGTGTTCTACGGCCTATAGCGATAACAGATAACGATACACAAAACTAAGTAGATCAGATCAAAAGAATTTAAAATCAAGAGTTCTTGAAATAAAGCATTAGGTGATAAATGCACGAAATAATAATAACATAATGCGATTTTTAACTCATGAGATTTACATGACAATTTAATATTTGTAGTTATTCTGTTATGCACTTCAAGACATGTATACTTTAAGAATACTACATGACTTTAAGAAAAAAAAAATAGAAGCAAAACAATTATGCAAAAGACTATATTCGACTTGTATTACAAAATTACAGCAATAGTAATTAAACCGATAACATACAATTATCAGGTCACGAAGGAGAAAACCGGGCGACTGATCCGCCCTCCGAAGTATATCTGAACGTTCACATAGTTCAGTACGAAGGGTGCCGGAAGAAATAGCGATAACGAAATCGACGTAAAAGCAAAAAAAGACCGAGTAGAAATAGAATCGTCTTATGCTCTGACGGAATTTATAATGAGTTGCCAGCAAACGATAGACTTGCACGCGAATCGACCGTTGTAATGGTTGCTCCCGGTATGCACTTCATAAGCGCACACACAGACAGAAATACGAGCAATACAATACGCACCTGTTCTCGATTCTACATCTTCGTCCGAGTCTCTCGTGGAGCGCTGCATTTTTGCGTTTGTTCATAAAATCGTATAAACGCAAAACAACCGAAAATTCTAGAAAAAAGACTCACACGCAAGCAAATTGCGCGCTGTTGATACCACACACGTGCTCCCTTGCCAAGACAAGTTTCAATTTCTCAACGACCCGACTACCAACGAGGACTGCCGATGAGTGTCGATCATCGCCGATTTTCTCAAGTCCCATATGACCACAGATATCTATACGAATCTAATAGCGAATTCGGTTGCTTGCACTAGTGTGCACTGAGTGCGCACTAAGGCTTGTTCATAGTATGTTATTATATTTAAAGATTGTCTTAAATAATTCTCAAATAAATTCTCAAATATTTTTAACCATAATATGATATGTATAACATCCGTACGAATCATTTTATTAGTTAAAATGTTTTTAAATATGTATTTAAGACACGATCTTAAATATAAGAATGTACTGTAAACAAGCCTTAATGCGCACTCAGTGCGCACTAGTGCAAGCTACCGAATTCGCTATAAGGCTGTTTTCCGAAATTCACTGCCAGTACTGAAATCTATAATTCATGTATACGATAGAATTTCAGTACTGACAGTGAATTTCGGAACGCAGCCTAGAATGCTAATGCAGGATTCACACCGCGTCCGACGTACAATGTCCGATATCCAATAAGAAAACAGCTTTCCAATGGGGAATTGAATTTTCTATTAGAAAGCTCTTCTCTTATCGGATATCGGACATCGTACGTCAGACATCGAACGCGGTGTGAATTCTGCATAAGGGTGCGATTAGATGTAGCGGTATGCGGTATGCGGTACGCAGAACGCGGTAAAGTATTAGAAACCGCGCGCGGTAAGCCGCGCCTGTTTTCCTCCTCCTATTACATGGAGCAGAAACTGCGTGAAAACGGCACAGGCTAGTGATAAATTCTCATTTGTTTTCATTTTCTAAAATGTATTAACTTATTTCTATGCACATTTTACCAATATTCTTATTTTTTCAACAAATTTACTTACTAATTGCATTTAAATCAATTAATTCCATTTAAAATTGCATAGAAATGAGAATTTATCACTAGCCCGTGCCTTTTTCACGCAGTTACTGCTCCATGTAATAAGAGGAAGAAAACAGGCGCGGCCACCGCGCGCAGTTTCTAGTTACTTTACTGCGTTCCGCGTACCGCATACCGCATACCGCGCTACATCTAATCGCACCTTAACAAGCGGGAGGGACACGATTGACCTCGATATGATTGGATACAGATTGTAATAATAGGGGTTAGGCGACAGTTTCCCGAAAAGTGGAGGGGATAATGTTGGTACCAAGAGAAATCTACATGATATAATTTAAAGATCTGTTTTTTGTAACTGCACTGCTGAACTAATGCAAAAGATTAGAGTGAGAAAACGTATACTTGCCTCATTTCAATTTATTGCACCAATTTAGCAGTGCAGTTACAAAAAACAGAATCTTTAAATTATATCGTGTAGAGATTTTCTTTGGTACCAACATTATCCTCTCCACTTTTCGGGAAACTGTCGCCTAACCATGATAGGTTCGACCTGATAATTCACTAGATAATTCTTTGCATCGGTTGGTTGTACCAATCGTACCGTGGTCAATCGGGTCCTACCCGTCAATCGGGATGCTCCCCTGAGACCCGATCTACAATAGGTGATTTAAGCTCTAAGCTTTAAAAAATTTACCAATCACAATCAAATTTGAGGAGAATAATCGAATGTGATTGATCAATTTCTTAAGGCTTACTACACCTATTGTAGATCGGGTCTAATAGGGACTATCTAATAGCGTGTTCGACTGGCTTTGGATTAATCGCTCCGAGAGCGATTAATGATGTCATAAGTCTCTACTAACCAATCATAAAGCTTATAAGTACTTGTTCGACCAACAAACGTAGGCTGAATAATCCAGAGTGAGTTAACCCAGAGTCAATCGAACATGCTATAAAAGAAAAGGGGAAAGTCCCGATTGACCACGGTACGATTGGACACAACCAACCAATGCAAAGAATTATTTAGTGAATTACCAGGTCGAACCAATCATTACAATCTGTGTCCAATCGTACTGTGGTTACCGACAATTTCCCGAAAAGTGGAGGGGATAAGGTTGGCACTAACAAAATCCTCTAGGTTACATAATTTCTATTTATGAGGATTAGCAGCACTGTTCAAGTAGTAAGTCTGTTAGTTGGCGTAATCTTGTTGACAGTTATGACATATATGCGCGCGTGCACCAGTGATGCCAGGGTCGTGGGATATTGTCTCAAGATTAGGTCGTAATACGCATGCGTGTATGATGTCACAAGTCATGATAGGGTTGTATTAAATACAAGGCGCATAACAGGATCTAACAAAATTTCCGTTTATTTTAGTACTTTAACAACAAACGTTGGTATTCCTTTCGTAAGTCGACTGCAGACGCAACATTATAAATTTTATCTCTATCTATATCAATTTACTATATTCTTTCCTTCCTTACAACTTTTTCCTTTCACTTTATCTTCCTTTCATTTTATCTTTTTCACAAGTGTTCCAAAGATACCCTCAAATGTGGTTACATTGGTACTTCACTGGGAATCGAGAGTTGTACGAGCGGCTTCGATTGATCGACACTACTTCGACCTTGGCATCACTGGCGTGTATAACAATTTTACAAGCATAATATTTAATAAATGTAAGTATATAATACATTGTGACACTAAAGCAAAATAAAATTAAACAAGAGTGATACAAATAAGTGAAAACAAAGTGCATCGAGATAAACGAGATGACAAACAATGATATTATATGTATATATGAGTAAATAAATATTATATGTAAAACAATTTTAGTTTTTCAGCATTTCGAGAAATATAATTTCTGGTTGTGGCATTATTCTTTGCACCGGGATCAACTTGCCATTATCGTCAACTGCGGAATAAAGCCTGTGCAAGACGAAAGAGGCATAAACTCAAAGAAGGTAGAGAAAAATATAAATGGAGAATAGACAAGTATATCAGATAAGTAGCTAATACTCTCATCAAATAAAAATTTATCTCATCAAATAAAATTTTTTTGTACTTTTATGTTGTTTGTAATTAAAGAAGTTGTTGGACCGATTCTTTTCTGGGAGCGTTCCAGATGCGCACATTGACAAACGGACACAGCCAACCGCAACGCCGTATGATTAGAGATATTCTAAAGACTCTATAAACAACGACATGATTGGATGTGTCCTTTTGTCAATGTACGCATCTGGGACTCACTCTTCTTTTCTTTGCCTAGTAAACAATCTGCGCGCAGATTGATGTCAGAATGGCGACAGGATCTGTTGAATTCGAGCAGGATCTGTCGACAGATTCATAAACATCTGCGTCTCCAATCTGCTGTTAGACTGTTGACAGGATCTGCGAACAGTCTTTGACGACAGCCTGGCGACAGATTGCGCGCAGAGCCTGTCGACAGACTTTGATGGTAAATTGCCGGCAGATTGCGTGCAGATCCTATTGTTTCGTAAGTTCTTCAAATAAATTTTTGATAGAAAATTTTCTCATAATTTTTCATAATTACTCGTAGAATAAGCGCTTTCTTATATTAGGTGTACAACTTTGCTTCCGTTTTCCTATAGATGTCTTTAGCGGTAAGTGGTGGTCAAAATAAATAGATCATAGACGTCATACAATAAACTTGGGTATCTGTCAACATAACATAGAAACATTAATCGATTTGTGTCTGCATCATAAAGTTATTCTCAATTGAAAATGTCAGTTTACGAGCCAAATTCTCGTCATTTGCGGGAGGTTTTAATTTTCTGCTTCAATAAGAAATCGGGAGCGGTGCACTTGGACACGGTGCATTTGGACACAGCCAATCACAGCACCGTGTGATTAGAGACATTTGTAGGGTCCCTTGGAACAGCGACTTGTGATTGGACTGTGTCCAATTGCCCCGTGTCCAACTGATATACACCCGAAGAAATCTGCGGCTGAGGCCCATCGAATGCTCTCAAATATTTATGGTGAGGCCGCTATTAGTGAAAGAACGTGTCGTGAGTGGTTTCAACGCTTCAAGAACGGTGATTTTGACGTCGAAGACCGGCATAGCGATGGAAGAAAGAAGGTTTTCGAAGATGCAGAATTGGAGACATTACTTGATCAAGACTCGTGTCAAAATCAAGAAGAATTGGCACGATCATTGGGAGTAACTCAACAAGCTATTACAAAACGCCTCAAAGCCATGGGAATGATTCAGAAGCAAGGAAATTGGGTGCCGTACGAATTGAAGCCGAGAGATGTTGAACGGCGTTTGTTTGCTTGTGAACAGCTGCTTGAAAGGCAAAGACGGAAGGGATTTCTGCATCGCATTGTGACTGGGGACGAAAAATGGGTTCATTACGATAACCCCAAGCGCAGAAAATCATGGGGAGTTCCCGGCCATGCTTCCACGTCGACGGCCAAACCGAATATTCACGGCTCCAAGGTCATGCTCTGTATTTGGTGGGACCAGCTCGGCGTAGTGTATTATGAGCTATTAAAACCGACTGAAACAATCACAGGCGATCGGTATCGAACGCAGTTGATGCGTTTGAAAGACAAATGGCCGCAATACAACGAGAGACACGGTAAAGTGATTTT